ATTTTATAATTTATTTTAAAAATACATTATAGCTATATGTTTAAAAACATTAAAATGTAAATGCCACAAGACTTGTATCAGTACTTCTCCAAGCACACATGGAATGATCTAATTCACATGAAAGGTAAATTGTGTTGTTTTACATAATATACTATTCAGTAGCGCTGGTATTCTCATACAGATTTGTGGATTAAGCATAGTAAAGCCAGGACCTCTGGTGGAAAGTCCATAGGGAATTGTACCACTAACTAAAAAGGCCACACCTCTTGGGGTCCGAATTTACCAGCACCACCTCTAGAAAAAGATTAGTAATCTTCTGTATAATTTAATTTATACTCTCAGTGTCTCAGTGGAAGTTCAACTGTAAGTTGGTGCCAATTCGAGGTCAATAGTAAAGCATTTTGACCCTAAAGATCTAATGATTTTGTACACTCTTAAGGAAATAGTAATGGTTTTAATGACTCATAGCTTATATAAGTTAATATATAATGGGGAATCTAATAAGGTATAATATCTTCTGATAAATATTAGTGAAGTACAAATTCAAAGATAAATATTTTTATGACACATGCCCCACCAAATATCTATCTTCTTAAGCTTTTCTGGATTATCTAAAATATAGATAAGGACTTTCCAAGTGTATAGAAAGAGGCTTACATGAAAAGTCAAGAACATTGCTTAGAATGGAGTCACATGCTCAGGGCATCAAATTTTAATGCAAGCTCAACTTGCTCCTTGATGAAAGACGTACTGGTGAAAGATTAGGAGGAAATCTGTCTGTGAATCCCAAGGCATTGGGGTGCTTGCTGGTGGGCTGGCCTCAGGGGAGGGGAGGAGAGAGCCTCTGGAGTGAGCCATTCCAGTATGGCTATTGCAGGCAGGCAGTAAGGGCCCTGTCCTGCTAATCTACACAGCAAAGGGCAAATGGCCCTCTTAGTTCCAATATGGTCACCAATCTTATCAAAATGGCAAATTTATTTAAAGGCTAAATATATAAAGCAGATGGCTTATGGCTTATTTTATTTGCTTTTTTATAATTACCCATGATAGGAATAATATCATTATTTGCCTTTTTGTAGGTTCTCAGAGGCACTGTGACTGACTTCCCTGGATTTGATGACCGGGCCGATGCAGAAACTCTTCGGAAGGCCATGAAAGGCCTGGGTAAATCTAGCCACTTTTCTTTGCTCAGAAAATGTGACAGTTATTTCTTAAAACAAAGGTCCTTGATTTTTATATGATTAATTTTAAACTCTTTCGACATGAAGTCCTTACGATTAGAAAAGGTGCATCAAAATAACAAATACTATTGTTGATCATCCTCAATATTTAGTAGCAGTTCAGTATCAACTATAAAGAGTCTGGCTGCGTTGATAAACAAATAAAACTGATAAAGATCAGCCATGTAGGTCTTTGTACCTTATTATTAAGCCCAACCAGGTATTATTTCTCCTTTGTACAAAACCCAAAGCAACCCCTTTGCAATCCATGCCATGTACCGTTCTGGCACATGGCAACCTCAGGGGTATCAGAGCAGAACTGGGTGATTTTCAGCAGCTGATTGCCAAGTCTTTTCTTCCATGGCATCTCTGACTGGAATTAAACTACCAACTCTTTGGTTAGTAATGGAGGGCTTAATTGTTTGCACCATGTAGGGGTACCTTCTCCTTTGTGTTTAAGGATACACTTTTCAGTGTCTCAGCTCTGGCCTGTCACTCTCCTTTCTGAGCAGTTTGTGAAGTTTTTCTTCTAGCTGGATTGTTGTTATAGTTGCTGTGTGCTCTTGAGTCAGCTATGACTCATAGCAATGTTGTGGACCACAGATTGAACCCTGGCCTATTCTCTATCATCCTCACCATCTCCCATCTCCACCATGCTCAAGCCCATTATTGCATTTACTGTATCAGTCCATCTCACCGAGTTGTCTTTTTCGATGACCCTACCTTTTTGAGTGTGGTATAGTTTCTAAGGCCTGGTGCTTTCTGATAACTGGTAGGCTTTCTGATTTGACTAAACCTTCTGTGATAGTCTGGCCCCCTTCCTCAAGTTCTCTGACCCAAGCAATCTGGATTTTCTGCTATCGTGAATTGAAAGCATTGATTTCTGACAGCTCTATTTTTTCCTCATTCTAAAAGCCTCTCCTCCTTCCTGTCTTTGCCTGTCAAATGTTTCATGTTTTGAGACTGTTGTAAGTTAGAACTCTTTCTCCAAACTCTCTTCCACTTCCTATCAGTTTTGAGAACCTTCTTTAAATACTTTTTAACACCTCAATCTCTTGTGAGTCAGTTGTTACATTCTGCCTTTAGTTACAATTTGTGCATTTTAGCATTTCTTAGCTTTAGTGGCCTAGTCTAATAGGGAGTTGCACTGCTAACCTCAAAGATGGCTGATTTGAATTTACCAGAGTCTCTATAGGAGAAAAATGGGTAATCCCCTTCCGTGTGATTTTAATTGCCTTTTAAAACCCTCTGGATGGTCAGCTATGAATTGCTTCCAAGTCTGTGACAATGCATTTTTGAGTTATGCTAAATTGTATGAACTCAATGTCAAGTTCTTTTGAATTCTCTGTAACACTGCGTATGTTCCTGTGAAAAGTGTTGTTATTTTAGTACACTGTTGCATGGAAATCTTTCTGTATACAGATTTTAAAAAGTAGAGTGTGTTTTGTCAAGAAGTCAAATAGTATGTGTTGGAAACATAACTTTTTACATGTTATAAATTTAAATATAT